GTATGTGTAGGGCTGTATGCATAGGATCACACGGGTAACAAACACAGTGGGCGGGGCTCCGTGAGTACATGGGGAGGTGCCCGCAACGACGTCCGCACCGGGCGGACTGGGGGGCTGCCCGGGGGGTTGTGATCCTCCGGGGGGTATAAATGGGGATCAGCCGGAGAGCTCGGGGTGGAGTTTAGAGTAAAAGGAGGGAAGACAGAAGATCGACTAGCTAGAGCCCTGGACTCCCCTGGGACGCCGCCCTTGTCAGGGCCGTGCAGGACCGAGCCAGTGGCGTGGTCCCGTGAGCCAGAGTTAGTACTCTGGGACTCCGGGTACCGTAGCCCGACTGACCAGTGTCGGGCCAGATAGCCTCCCCTACCCCATTAGTGGAGGACCAGGAGGTAGGTCAGGGGTAGTTAGTAGAGTATTCCCAGCTATCCGGGTGAGGGGGCCGATACACCCCTCTAGTATCGTATGTCCGCAGTGTGACTACTTGTACGAATAAACACGTGTGCCTTACAACGGTGTCCAAGCGTCATCAACGGTACATCACCTGCATAAACCTTATCAAAACAAGGCTATCATCTGTCGAGGTCGCGACGTATCTGCGGCTTCTTCCAAGACAATCCAGCTCAATGGAAGGCAAACATTACATACTGACCGTACCTGTGAAACTGACAAGAGCTGCCAATACCGCTCATGACCATCACAAAAATGCAGCAATTGCGTTTGTATCTATGGCATACCTAGATGAAATCTGTTCTATGTTTGGAGCAGACGTGTGTGCTTCTACCTCAGCCAAGACGACACGGCTAAAGTGTCACGACGAAGCAGGCGCCTATACTGATGCATCTCGAATATTCGGTGCGTTTGCCAGATCACGATTTTGTTGTTGCGTCTCGCCATAAACTGATCCCATCTGTCTATGCTGCCTGTGCCGTGACTCCAGGAAAGTTAATCGATGCTGTAATATACTCCGGTCCTACGTATATTGCAGTGCGTTCAATGAAACATGGTGGCAGTACAGCTTTTACGCATGGTCATGATATGGAACATCTGCGCTCTAATACAAGTTTCCTGTCATTGATGTGCACAGCCTATGGTGGTCGTGGCGAGTGATGGAGGACCGGACGAGAATCCGAGATTTCCCAAACCGCTACAGATTGCGGCCACTAGATTTGTTGACTGGGATCTGGATGAGTATTTGTCAGACACCTACGCACCTCATTATACAGCCTACAACAGAGTTGAGCGCCGGATAGCTCCACTCAGCCGAGAGCTAGCTGGACTAGTGCTACTTCATGATCACTACGGGTCACATCTCAATGCATCAGGAAAAACAATCGACACGTAGTTGGAAAAGCAGAACTTTGAAAAAGCAGGAGAAAGACTGGCAGAAGTACGGTCCGCAGTCGTATTAGATACGCATGATGTCCATGCAGAATATATTGACCCAGTAGAGCGTGAATCACCCAGTGAACCAGAAGTCAAATGGGTCGCGCGTCACGTCCGGCAGAGTGAATATTTTCTACAGATCACCAAGTGTGATGATTCTGGCTGCAGTCGCCCATGGCGCACCTCATGGAAAATGTTATTTCATGAACGTTTCCTGCCCGGTCGTACTGACACATTCGGCAGCTGGTCTTAGCATTCCTGAGTCAGAATCCGTAAAGGATCAGATGCACTTGCTCAGCGACTAGCTTTTGGATCATCAAAAGTTCATTTGAACGCGTCGTTTGTTCTGCACTGTCCGTCACTTGCACAACCTGAAACTATCAAGCGCACATGTCCTGTGTGAGGCGTTAATCACGCAGCTGGGGCGGGGAGGCGTCAAGTTTTGACAGATTTTTGCGTACCTACTAAATGGATGGCCCCAAATAAAAAATGCCTCCGACCGGTCGGCCAACATAATACAAGAAAGCAATGCACACACGCCCACACACACGCCTGCCAGGTGTAAGCAATGTTTGCTGTATAGCTGAGGAACAACTTTCAAAATGACGATTATTTGGTTTGTAAGATTTTGAGAAGGGGCCGTCCATAAATGACGTCACGCACCTAGGGGGGGAGGGGGGGTCAGACATTTGTGACGATGTGTGACGAGGGGGGGGGGGGTGAGAAATGTGACGTCACATCAAAATGCGCAACTTTAAATAAATATAGACAACACGTTCTACTTAATTAAATAGACTTTTTAATACATGTTTTCTCCTACAACATCAGAGTGCAGCGCCACGTAAAATACGCACTACAATGACAATAGTTTAAAGCGATTTGAAGCATGTTTTATTTTCAAAATGGAAATATGGTTTGGGGGGGGGGCAGAGCTTTGTGACGTCATATTTGAGGGGGGTCTGACATTGTGTGACGCCGTGTGACGAGGGAGGGGGGGGTAAAAAATCGTCAAAAATCGCGTGACGTAATTTATGGACGGCCACCCAACGTTCAAAGGGGAGCTCTTTCCCTTTGTCTCTCGCTCTTTTATTTTCCCTGTTCGAAATGCTCGTCGCTGCAGTGGGCAATGGGCCGTGAGAGATGTGTGACCATACGCTGATCAGTGAAGATGGTGGGAGGAGGGGCGATTGCCCACAACGCCTGAAACCTCTGTCTTTTGCACATGGTGCTCACTCGTCCGAGCACTATCCAGGCCCAACAATCTGCTTATCTTCTGAGATCGGACGATGTTGGGCACATTTCAGGTGATTTATAATCTACATTAATTTCAACTTGTAACGCGCCCCACAGTTGTCTGCTTGCTCTAATCGAGAGAGAACGACTGAGCCGGCGAGAAACCACAGACAAGCGGGAAGGCAACCACGCTCGGTGAGCAGAGTGCCGACATTTGCCCACGCTCTGCGGTCCTCTATATATGAAGGTGTTTTCGGTCCATGAGTATCTACACGTGGGAGGAAACCAAAGCACCTGGAGAAAACCCCTCGTGTGCGAGGGGGCAACACTCTATCCCATAAAGACGACACAGTTGGAGTTGAAATATTTGTTCTACTGCCTTCTCCTGGCAAGCCAGGGCTTGACACCTCCTGATGACTTTACACTGCCGCTTGGGGTTGCCACCACTGAGGTACAAATCAAATATGGGACGTACAGTATGATGGGATTGAGGTCATGACACAACATCGGGGAATTGAGAAAATTCTAGATTTGAAGCTTTCGTGACTGCAAGGATTCATATTCTTAGGTTTTTTCGGTAAAGTCACGTAGGTAAAACATCAAAATTAATAAAAAATAAAATAAAGATCACGACCTTTCGGAGGCAACACAAGTCTCCGTCGGTCCCACCTGATGACGGAGACTCGTGTTGCCTCCGAAACGTCGTGATCTTTATTTTATTTTATTTTTATTAATTTTGATGTTTTACCTACGTGACTTTACCGACAAAACCTAAGAATATGAATTGAGAAAACTCGGTTTAAAAAAAAAAACTCAACGCATTCCTCAACAACACTTCCCTAAAAGAAAAAAATATATAAAATCGGCGACGCTCGTAGCACACGTAAAGACATTGTTTTCAGTGAGGCACGAGCATTATGCTCACCTGGCAAAACCCGAGACCTTTAATAGGCCCTGGAAAGGACTGACGCACTTTGCAGGAAAGGCACCTCGAAATTAGGGCAATCTTGGGAGGGCCGAGACAGCAGGTGGCACATCTATTGGCCACTGCAGCGACGAGAATTTCGAACAGGGAAAATAAAAGAGCGAGAGACAAAGGGAAAGTGCTCCGCATTGAACTTTGGGTGGCCGAGGCATTTCGTGACAAGTGCGAGAGGGACAGAGAGAGAAATCATGCCACACTTGCCACTTTCCATTACAATGTACATCATCTTTTCAAAATCACATCTTGCAAACAAAATAATCGTAATTTTGAAAGTCGTTCCTCAGCTATACTGGGTGACTTTAAAGTAAAATTGCTTAAACTTGGCAGGCGTGTGTGTGTGCATTGATTTCTTGTTTTATGTTGGCCGATCGGTCGGGTACATTTTCTTATATGGGCCAATCCATTTAGTAGGTACGCAAAAATCTGTCAAAATTTGACGCCTCCACCCCTCCCTGTACACACGCGTACTTTTTACCCCCCCTCCCACCTGCGTGACTGACAGCGCAGAACAAATGACGCGTTCAAAGGAACTTTTGATGATCCAAAAGCTTGTTGCTGAGCAAGTGAACTGTCGTGTGCGTGCGTCTGATTTTTTACAGATTCTGGCTCAGGAATGCTAAAGCACATTTTTCAAATGTGGCTGTATCTATAATGTAGACTTATTATAGACTGTCAGTGCACTCACTCAGGTTAAGAACCAGGCTACAGTCTGCATTATAGACTGCCAGTACGCTCACTCAGTTTCATAACCATTGTTACAGTCTACATTATACACTGCCAATACGCTCACCAGCTTAAAAAAACAGGCTACAGTCTACATTATAGACTGCCAGTACATTCACCAAGGTTAAGAACCAGGCTACATTCCATATTATAGATTGCCATTACACTCGGTTAAGAACCAAGCTACAGTCTACATTAGTGTTTTATTTTATTTGTATTCTTTTTATTCACTTAATTTTTTTATTATTTTTTTCTATCTACGTGACTTTACTGAAAGAACCAAAGAATATGAATTCCTGCAGTCACGAAAGTTTTAAGTAAGAGGTGACTTCTTCCAAATGGACCCCCCCCCCCTCTATTAATAATAATTAGCGGGTGACGTCACTCCACATGGGGGGCGAGGCGCCTCCTCCCCCCTCCTCGGCGTCAACTCACAACCTTCACTACACGTCACGTGATCTCCGTAACGCTACTGAGACATAAAAGTAACTTTTTGAAATAAATAACGTTATGAATATTCAGAGGCATTACTGCCATTGGTTACATTGCAGGCGCGGGGCGGTCAGTGGATTTGTATTGGTTCAAGAAATGTAAATGAGCGTTGTAGGTGGGGACGGCGATGTGCTTATAACGCGTCCTGGAGTCATCATCATCTGCTTCGCTTGAGAAGTAGCCCAGAAACCCGTTGGTGTCCAATACTGAAGAAAAACCCACGCAAGGCAGCACTGAAATTAAAGTAAGTTTCTCTCCTTTACATCCACAGATTCTGAATAAGAAGATTAATGATGGATACAGCCACATTTGCAAAATGTACTTTGTAAATTTTATTCTTAACATTGAATCGATGTTTCAATTGTATGCACTATTTTATTCAGGAACTGTGTGTGATGTGTTGGTGGTGGTCTGGGGCTGTGTATGCTATTGTTTTACTGCCTTTCGTAAGCTTGGGAATTAATGAAAATTCTACTTACATACTTTATTTAATTAAGGGGCACCACGGTGGTGTGATGTTAGCTTCCTCGCCTGATATGCAGGAGGTAGGGGGGGCTCGATCCTGACCATGATGCCTGCTGTATATTTGGAATTTGCATGTCCCTTCTTCCCGTGGTCGCGTGGATTGTTTCTCCGGGCCCTCCGATTTTCCCCTCCACATTTAGAAACATGCATTGAGATTAAATCTTGATTTGAACCTTTCGTGACTGCAGGAATCCATAAAATAAAATTTTATACCGACGTGATTTTACCGAAAGAACCGAAGAGTATGCACTGAGATTATTTAGATTATTTTGCTGTTATAGATTTTCCCATGATAAGCCCCTTTGTTGAACGATAATTTGTGACCAGGTCGTTTCTGAAAAATAAGTTAATACCTCAGTGGGATTTACTTGGTAAGATTTATTTTTAAAAAATGGTTTAGTTTTATTTGTAGATTTGTAAGGTATTTGTATAACGTTCTTATACTTTGCACTCCTATCGTGTTTTTGTAGTGTTTTTGTTGCAATATTCTGACCTCCACTGGACATCTGTGATAAATAACTTTATCGCTCATCGGATTCCTCCTCCAGTATAAATGCGTATTCTCATGTGCTGTAGCCACATTGATGGTCCATTTATAGATACCCCACTAAAATAGTAGGGGAGAATTGTAGACAAAACGACATTGTATTTCAAAGCCTTTTACGTGTATCTCACCAATTTCGGTGCACTTATTCAATTGCCCAAATCTCTCCTCTGTAAGATGTGAAGCCCAATATTCAATCTGCTGTTAAGAAAAAAAAACATTGACATGGCCATTAGACATCAGTGGCGCGTCTATAAATAGATCACCCCGTATTCTGATTAATTATAACACGGTATATGATTAAATATAATTAATATCGACGACCATTGTATGTCCCGGGCGTTTATTTACTTATTTCCCTACATGTAAAGAGGTAAATCAGACATTCGTAATGCTTTCTGCATATTTAATATCAATATAGTTTGTTTGATGGAGAACAATAAAAAAACCCTCATCTGATAATGAGATGCATACGGAATATGAGAATCAATATGAAGTGTGTCTCTAAAAGGAGAACGAATATACCCTTGGATTTCTGCTCGTGGGGATCCCTGCCCTCGGTGTTGAATACTCAGAGATGTAGCTGCCTCGCCGATTTCAAATTCCAGACGGAGTTTGGTTATAAAGTCACAGCGGTATCCACCGTCAGAGAAGTCCACAGTGGTTATCTTCTTCTTGGTTTTTTCGGTAAAGTCACCTGAGGACGGCTGCTTGCGTTGTGGCCGAAATGTCGTAAGAATTGTATTTTATTATGTTTTATTTTTATTATTTTATTATTTCCCTTCTACGTGACTTTACCGAAAGAACCAAGAAGGTGAATCCCTGCAGTCACGAAAGCTTTAAATCGAAAAGAGTGGTTATCTTATTTATGGACTTGGAAATATTCTCCAGAGCTCAGCTTCAGCTGAAATTAGGCTCATGTTCCTTAGCTCAGAGATATGGCGGCTGGACTTGTTGTACTGGAGACCGGGGTAGATCGTTGATCGATGTTCGGTCGCCGAGTTGACGATGGCATTAGTCGTGATTTTTTTTCGCTTAACAAAGTGGAACCCACGAAGCCTGTCGTGATCCACTCCAGCTCAGGAGTCACTCGGCTTAATTGATATGGCAAAGGCTGCCAATGTTCGAAGCCATATCACGTCACAGGTGCTTTGGCTCCGTGGAGACTTGCACAACTAGTTGGCTTCTGGCTCTGATGCGACAGTGGATACTGGTGTGGCGTTACTGCGGCCGATGTGGGGCCAAGAGGACAAGTTGCTCGATCAGATTAAGAAGCACAGCGTAATGTCAGGGCGCCGGTTGCACAACACAGGTTAAGTACAAATTTAGACTCGTTTTTTTTATCCGAATGAAACTATTAAACTAAACATTTTTTATTTTACCGGGTAAGGCCCACTGAGCTGTATAGCTCTTTTTCAGAAGCGACATGACCACAAATGATAATTTAACGAAGTGGCTTATCACGTACAAATCTATAGCAGCCAAATACTCTAAACTCATGTTTCTAAATGTGGAGGGAAAATCCCGGAGGACCCGTAGAAAAATCTACGCGACCACGGGGAGAGAGAGATGAAAACTCCAAATATATATATAAACACCCAGGTATGTCATTCTGTGATTCTGTCATTGTGACTAACGCGGCACGGATTGGTTGAAGTACGTCATGTGACCGCGAGCAAGCAGCCAACCAGAGGTGCGCCCCTTACAAACATGTACGCCCCCCAGGTGATGTTGCGCCGTAATAAGGCGCTGTGGGCAGCTGATCTGCCACCACGCTCACGGGCCGACAGGGGTGGGGGCTGAGGGGGAGGAGGACCCCACTCCAACACTTCCTAAGACCCCTTAAGATAACACCTTGCAAATAATCCTAACAGTTATTTCAGTGATTAATAAGTCATAGCTCGTAGAAGTGAATGTAAATATCACAACTAAAGTTTAAATGCATTTTCATTCATTCACATTAAAGTTACATCGCGGGATCGTCAAAAAAAGGTATGGAGAGTGAAAATTGTAAGTGAAAGCTGCGTAAAGCCGCTCTTATTCGACTTATTGAAAGTCCTCAAGTACAGCAAAGCCGTTCGCGTTTTTTTTACAGTACTCTACAACAACCACAGCCTGTGGCGCCCCCCAACAACCACAGTCTGCAGCGCCCCCCAACAACCACAGTCTGCGGCGGCCCCCAACAGACTGGTCAAGTAAATCCTTACGATCCACTCGCACAGCGTGCGGTGGGCCTTCATCCAGCAGTGGATTTGAGCACCAAAAAACTACAATACTAATGTAATGAGAACCTGAATATGAATATGAATGAAATGTATTTTAACTTTAGTTGTGATATTTACATTCATTTCTAAGAGCTATGATCTTAAGGGGTCTTAGGAAGTGGTGGGGGGGCCCCCCTCAGCAAACCACCCCTGGGGGCTCTGGTCTGTCAACCTCCGGTCACGGGGGGGGGGGGGGGGTGGAAGGCTCTTATCTTAAGGGGTTTTATGGAGGGGGGGGTCCCCCTCCCTCTCAGCCCCCACCCCTGTCGGCCTGTGAGCGTGGTGGAAGATCAGCTGCCCACAGCACCTTATTACGGCACAACGTCACCTGGGGGGCGTACAACCAATCCGTGCCACATTAATCACAATGACAGAATCACAGAATGACAGATTGACAAACCTGGGTGTTTATATATATTTATACTTTTCAATAATACTTTTGATGGTAAAACACACGTGCACTACACACACATCTATTACGTACGGACATATATACACGGTTCTCATTACATTAGTGCTGTAGTTTTTTTGGTGCTTAAATTCACTGCTGGATGAAGGTCCACTGCACGCTGTGCGAGTGGATCGCAAGGATTTATTTGACCAGTCTGTTGGGGGTCGCCACAGGCTGTGGTTGTTGGGGGGCGCCGCAGGCTGTGGTTCATAATAAACATTTTTGGGTTAGATCGCGTTATTTATAAATGTGTCATAACCCTCCACCACCCGACACGGCCAATCAGTAAAAAAGTGTCACGTTGACAAAAGACAAATACAGTAAAACCTTGGATTGCGAGCATAATTCGTTCCGGAAACGTGCTTGTAATCCAAAGCACTCGTATATCAAAGCACTCGTATATCAGTTGTGATCACGTGACGCTCGGCAGACAAAGCCTATACGTACTACTCGTATTGCAAGACCTCGCTCGTTTATCAAATTAATATTTATTTAAAAAATTTGCTCGTCTTGCAAAACACTCGCAGACCAAGTTACTCGCAATCCAAGGTTTTACTGTAGTTAACTACTTTAGCCCACCGGTGTGTTGAAAAGTGAATCCACAACATTTACAATTTTTGGGTACGACGTTTCGCTGGTAATTACATCCAGCATCATCGGGCAGTTTGCCAGAATGGTGAAGCCCTCACTTGCTCCCGGTCTTAAATAGAGCAGCAGGGCGACGTCATCATTTAATTCACTCATACGACACATTTATAAATAACGCAATCTAACCCAAAAACGTTTATTATGAATAATATTGGTCGAGAAAGCCTATGTGTTAAACTCCAAATATACAGCAGGCGTCAAGGTCGGGATCTTACTCACGACCTCCTGAATATCAAGCGAGTTAGTTAACATCTCGCCACTGCGGAACAAATTCTAATTGTGATATGAAGCAAATGTTTCACTCCTAAATGCAAGTAGCTGTTATCGCTATAGGCTATTGTGTCTGACACAAGTCTGAAGATATATTAATGAGAGAGAAAAACATGTCACCCTCGTCAGGCATGTCAACATACCAGTGATGTCATTTCCGTATGACTTAATACATCGTACTAGAGCTATATGAAATTACACCTGAGAGCAGTGGTTCTTCCCCTTAACTGTAGCCTTGCACCCCTTTGGTTCTCAATCGTAAAAAACAGTTTTATGTTAACAAATACATAGGTCTGATTAAACAAAGTAGTTGTATTTATTTACCTTAAAAATATTTTTTCCATGTCTCGCACCTCCAGAAAGGGCATTACGCAGCCGCAGGTGGTGCGTGGACCCCATGTTAAGGACCACTGTCTTAGAGTAACTTTAACGTTGTTTTTATTATAAAGAAAGTTTTGTATTTATGTCAAAGAAGAGTCCGGATCAAGACAAGGACTCTTTTTCATGAATGATGCTTCCAACCTGACACCGTCACTCACTGCTGCCCTTCATTTTTTTTCCGTTTGCCATCACTCCGAAGAGCTGTGAGCCCAAAAGTGATATAATTAACTTGTCGGTACCATCTGAGGTGGCGTAACTTTAGCGGTTCCAATTTTTGTTACGTGGTCAATAACAGTGACTAATGCGATGACCACTCGAAACGCGTGGGGTTTTCCAATCATTCACTATCATTAGCCACGTAAATAAATTGTTACTATGTACAAAAACCTTGCGTGGTACCGATGTATACTCTGGCTCATGCTAATCTCACCGTCTCTTCTCTTATCGCACACAGGCTGGAGGAAGACGCATTCATGGCAGACGAATCAGGCTCCCAGTCACCTGCCCTATCCAACCTCAAGCAAAAGATTCTGCGCATAAGTCAGATACTCAAATATTTTACTGGAGAAATGACGGAATATAACAAGTGGATGAAAGGTAAGGATAATGTTGCGTGTGTTTTTTTTACACAAAAGAACATATCATCACCACTATGCGTCATGTTTATTTCTGAGGTCGAACACTTGCGGAGGCATCAGTGTTCAGAGGGCTCTGAACTCGTCAACATGAATTTTAGTCATGAGTACATTTTACTGGTAGTAACCTCCTGGTTACACTAGCCCACAGGGGATTATTGTGTCCGTCCGTCGTACAGGGAGGGGCTGGGTGGGGAGGGGCTGGGTGGGGAGGGTGGGGAGGGGCTGGGTGGGGAGGGGCTGGGTGGGGGTGGGAGGGGTGGGGCTGGGTGGGGAGGGGCTGGATGGGGAGGGGCTGGGTGGGGAGGGTGGGGCTGGGTGGGGGGTGGGAGGGGTGGGGCTGGGTGTGGAGGGGCTGGTCACCCCGTGGTGCCCTTATAGAACTCAACGTTAACCTACTCACGCCGGCTTGTGCCCGCCCTCACAGTCGGGCATATTTGCGGAATACACCACGCCGCCGTTGACCCTGGCCATTGACCGAGCAACCCAACGTAACTACTAGCTCCCTCCGCAGGAATGTGTTACACGTGTGGCAGGCTCTTGTAACGATTGCTAATTGATGTTTGAGCCACACGGCGTGAGTTGGATGTGTGTCGTACACACCCACCTCATGACTATCAGCGGAACGTACCCACTTGTTAAACGTGAGTGGATCGCTTTCCGATATCACCAACAGCGGCACTGCTGAAGCAGAGACAATTTGGCACGTTTGTTCATCACGTAGCAACTTTTTTAATCGGCTGTGTCGGGTAGAGGAGGGAATTACGACACACCTTGCACTCACCTAATCCGGCCCGAAATCAATGACAAATCAAATCAAGAGCAAGCTGCACGGCTAAACGTTCCAGAAGCCTGGCATCGTTTCGACCCTTGAACTCATGGAAACTTTACCAGTGATCAGTAAGTAACAATATCTCTCACGCGACGTCTCATTCGGATTCCTCCATGTCTAAATAAAGATTCCTATTCTCTGATCTTCCCCTCGGGGGGGGGGGGCCCGCGAACGACGACGACGACGCAAAGAGCGGTGGCTGCCGCTGCAGTTCCTCGACTGGAGCCTGCGAGGAACGGCGCAGGTGAATTTCGTCAACAACCCTCTCCGCGGTGTCCTCATCCTGGCCGCGCTGCTGCTGCAGGAGCCCTGGTGGGCCCTCTGCGGGTACCTGGGCGTGCTCGCCGCCACCGCGGCCGCCCTTCTCCTCAAGCTCAGCAGGTGAAACGTGCGGCAAACGGCTTGCCGGGCAGGGCCGCCCAGATCGACACATTTGGTGGTGGGGGGCGGGGCTTTGGAGGCATCGCATTTTTAAGAACCCCCCCCCCATTACCACCCCCCCTTCTCCAAAAAAAAGATTGCTTGAGAATTCATTGCTGTTCTACCATCTCCTGGCTACCTTGCAGCCCAAGCCAACAAGGCACCACGGTGGCGAGATGTTAACTACCTCCCCTGGTATACAGGATGTCAGTTTAACTCGTAGACTTTCGCGAACGATATCATCCATAATAGAGGTTTTTTGGGGTTAGGTCGCGTAAATATATAAATGTGTCGTTAAAATAGATTTTTTATTATGTTGATTTTGATAATGTTGAAGTTTTGTGCAAAAACCAGCTACTACTGGCCAAGACTAATTAGAGAATCTATCGAAATTGAAAGAAATCGAAATAACGATAACCATTCGGATAGTGCTGCGTGGAAGCGAATCATCAAATAATACATTATTTAAATGCATGCCTACAAAGGGCAGCGTACTTCAATAGGGATTACCGTTGGTATGGCTATTTTAATAAACACAATAGACAGGAAGGACAAGTTCAAAGGGCTCGCATAATGCACATGCATCATGTACGTTGCCTCTGTAATCCCCCCCCCCCACATCGTGCAAGAGCGCAGAAGGGTGGTCAACACATCTACGCCTCTATATAAGGAACGAAACAGGTGGACTTCTCCACAAATCTGGCTGTCGCCTGATGAAGCTTGTTGTAATTACTGGCGAAACGTCGTACTCAGTTTGTAAATGTTGTGGCTTGGCTCTCCAACACACCGATGTTCTGTTTACGTAACAACCCTTACTAGTTGGCTGTGTTGGGTGGTGGCGGGTTTTAACGACACATTTATATATTTACGCGATCTAACCCAAAAAAACCTCTATACAGGATGTCGTTGGTTCGATCCCGACCCTGACGCCCGTATAATTGCAGTGTGCATTATTTTCCGGATCCTCCGGAGTTTCCCTCCACGTTTAGAAATGTGTGTTTTAGAGTATTCGACTGCTATACATTTCCACGTGATACGCTACTTCGCTGAGCTATCAATTGATGGCCAGGCCCCTTCTGAAAAAGAGCTTATAGCTCAGTGGGCCTTACCTGGTTAAATAAAAAAAACTGTTTAAAACTTGACTTAAAGCTTTCGTGTTTGCAAGAATTAATATTCTTTGGGTCTTTCGGCAAAGTCACATAGCTATTTTCTTTGAACCTATCTACGTGACTTTACCGGCAAAGTCACGTAGATATTTTCTTTGAACCTATCTACGTGACTTTACCGAAAGACCCAAAGAATACAACAACTGCTTTTAGTTTACAATTCGTATTCATAGGCAGCCTCCCGCTTAGCTTTGCGAGATGTGACGCGATCTGCGGCGTGTTCTGAGCGACGTGGACAGGGAGGGAGACGCTTTGACCTCCTGCGCTGAACCCACGCTCCCCCTTCCTGCGTGCCCCAGGGCGAACGTGGCTGCGGGCCTCTACGGCTACAGCGGGCTCCTCGTGGGCATCCTCATGGCCGTGTTTTGCGATCGAGGGCCCTGGTACTGGTGGCTCCTGATCCCTGTCTCCATCATGGGCATGGTGAGGTGAGGGAGAGAGTGGTGAGAGCGACCCCTGCCCTTTTGTATTCCTAGCGCCTCCATATCCTTGGCTATGAGCACGTGCCATGACGGGTACCGCAAGATCCGACCATGTTCGTCCAGTGCTCGTCGAGCTGCATTGGCTTCCGGTTGCCGAACGAATGCATTATAACTTCGTATTCATTACACACAAAGTGATTGCTACAAATGAGCCACAATACCTTGCTGATCTCGTCAAGGAGCATAAACCATCACGTGAACTCCGACCATCTTCGCAGCTACTTTTTTAAAGCCATTGTTTCGAAAATTGAGCAGCAATGTTCTGCATTGTTTTTCATGGTGGGTCAAAAGAATCCCACGACTAAAAAATGTGTCTGTATATTAGATGTGACCTTCTTTCCATCCTTGTTTCTTCACGTTTCTCAACATGTATTATCTGCCGAGATGTATTTTTGACGTGGCCCTCAAGCAGTCACATACGCTCAACAAACTTCGACACCACCGTACAACTGCAATATAACTTCTGTGGTAAAAAAAATGGACATTGCCTCTCTGGTTCGTAAAAAAATCTAACTTAGCAACAAAATGTTTTTATCACATGAAGCATGCAACACAGTGAAGGATATTGCCCCACAAGCCGATTACTACTACGGCCATCATAAACATTATGAGCAGCTCGCACGTCAATAGATGGGGTTTAGGAGCATGTGCCGAACACGCACTTGAATTGCTTAATGTTGTTGAGAAGAAACTCACAAACACCTCATGAAAGACTCATAGCAAGAGAACGCCTGGGTTTGAAGCTCATGATCCACCCGAAACTGCATCTGCACAAACCATGGTAGATGCGGATACCTGATGCACAAACAGGTGATTAAAAACTCTCCAGTGGTGAGACTGTGGTCATCCAGAACAGACCATACAACATATGACACAATGCCTGATCCACAAATACGAAGGAGACATCACAGCGATGATACACTCCGCTGCTACTCCTGAAGCGGGTATCTGGCTTGAATATGGAATTATAGTCGTTTCTCTGCAACTACATCAGCCATACAAAAGAAGAAGATTTCTGTAAACGGGAAAAACAACAACAACAACAATTGACAGCCCACGACAAGTTCAGATAACACTCGCTGTTGATGTGAGCCATGGGCAGGAGTTAAAACCATGCGGCCACGGGCATTGCACGTGGTGCTAACCAACTGCATCACCACTCAACCCCTCTATAAATTGTCAGATCTTTCCATCAGGTGACAGACATATCACCTGAACAAAAATTATGGTGCCCTCGTACAAGTGCACATTAGGAAGACAGCATCCTGTTATTATTGTATTCGTCCTCAAATGGTGTGAAGGCAAGTTGCATGTGTCATGACGACTTCGACACACTTGTCTTGAGATGGTTTCTTTATTAAGGAGCCACGTACTCACACTTGGACAGGCAAAGACCACCACTGCAACAGCCCCGAGTTTCCCGTGCATCTCCCTTATATACGGTCCGAGGCCACGCCCCCATTCCCGAACCTCTCGCTGGTTCTAGACCGCTCGCTCTACCAGCAGACTGCCATCCTCTTCCATTACTTGGCCACGCTCCTATTCTCGATCATTCCCGAGCCACCAGTCCATGCGTACTGCAGGCTGACTCCCCTGTCATTACCTCCCGTGGCCACTAGTCCACTCACACCGTAGGCTGACTCCCCTGTCATTACCTCCCGTGGCCACTAGTCCCCTTGCACTGTAGGTTGACTCCCCTGTCATTACCTCCCGTGGCCACTAGTCTACTCACACCATAGGTTGACTCCCCTGTCATTACCTCCCGTGGCCACTAGTCCCCTTGCACTGCAGGCTGACTCCCCTGTCATTACCTCCCGTGGCCACTAGTCCACTCACACCGCAGGCTGACTCCCCTGTCATTACCTCCCGTGGCCACTAGTCCACTCACACCGTAGGTTGACTCCCCTGTCATTACCTCCCGTGGCCACTAGTCCGCCAACACTGTAGGTTGACTCCCCTGTCATTACCTCCTGTGGTCACTAGTCCACTCACATCGTAGGCTGACTCCACTGTAATTACCTCCCGTGGCCACTAGTCTGCTCACACCGTAGGCTGACTCCCCTGTCATTACCTCCCGTGGCCACTAGTCCACTCACACCGTAGGCTGACTCCCCTGTCATTACCTGCCGTGACCACTAGTCCGCTCACACCGTAGGCTGACTCCCCTGTCGTTACCTCCCGTGGCCACTAGTCCACTCACACCGTAGGCTGACTCCACTGTCATTACACATGTATCGAGACTATATCGTCAACTCCGGGAATCGAAGTTCCAATCGCGGCCACGCTTACGGCCTCCTCGCGCGACCGTGCAAGCCTCACACATTCCTCGCGCGATTTTCTTTTTTATCGTGCGCTGTTACAAAACGCGTCGGTAGATAACAGGGCTTGTGCTCGAAGGTTCGAGAAGAGTCGGGCCGAGTGCAAGAGGCCCTGATGGGCCAATGCCGTTTTGATGGGCGCCACTCCTCGGCTGGTCGCTTCCTTCCCTCTGCCAGATTCCTCAACTGTTGCACGGCCGATACCCCACCTGCACGGTCTGCTAGAAAAGCCTCATCGCCACTGCCTGGCTCTGTGAAAATCCCATCATACTAAGTAGATCCGTGCAGATCAATTCGCACTTTCGTTCAAGTACCCCAGTTTCACTCAGTGGGAAGTTACGCGTTCGCCTTTGCACCCTCGATGATCTGCAATCCCCTTGCTCGTAGATCTATCCTAACTTGTTTTGAGTTTTCAACATGATTGAATAAAATAAACTTAAAGCTGAAACTTCGAACAAGCAGGGGGTGTACAATTCATATCTATCGCCATATTGGTATACGCACACCACACTCCAGTCCTGTCGACACGAATGACATTGGACCAGTTGAAGTGCAACCGAGTTCAATGGACCAATCGCTCTGCTCGCGCAGGCGCAACGCGACATTAAGTCGTGGTACTGGCAAAGGAGGCCTCATGATGTAAATGCTGACCCCGAGCTCTCATACTCTGATGGTGCATTGTCTTTGAGTTGTGCGCCTTTTGGCGTCATTAGGTCCAACCCATGTGAGACTAGGCTCTAAGGAAAGCTGTCTCGGGTGTGGACCAATCAACTTCAAGGACAGTGCAGACATTATCAGAGTAATGTTTTTTGTTTGTATTATGACTACAGGTATTGTGGTCTATGCAAACATGACTCCTCGTAAAAAAGGTGTCAGTTTTGTTGCCAGATAGTAGGGTAAAAAACCAATTATCATAGTATATTTTGTTCTATTTGTAAGTCCATACGCACGGACGTGACGACGACGCTTTGAGTGGCAGGTGTGTGCCAGAAAGGCGCCACGTGTTTAAGCAAAACGACAATTGGCGTGACTCATCTTCCTCTTTCGTCGACGCTTCTTCGCACGGTACGTATAGCCAGCCGTGCTAATCGGAGGAGCTGGCGAGCGCGCTCGCATCTCTCTTCGCGCCCCTGGGATTGCCCGTCTTCACGCTGCCCTTCAACATCGCCGTGACGCTCTTCATGGCCGCCACGGGCCACTACAACGCGCACTTCCCGCAGGCGCTCTTCCAGCCGCCGTCCGCCCACTACAACCTCACCTGGACGCAGCTCAGCGTGCCCATGGTAGATCTGGCCAGCTCAGCCGGGGGGCGGGAGGGGGCCGGATTGCATGTCCACACTTACCCCAGGATCTCAACGTGAAGTGGTGGTAAGGGGCCGTCCATAAATGACGTCATGCACCTATGGGGGGGGGGGGGGTCAGACATTTGTGACGATGTGTGACGAGGGGGGGGGGGGGGTTGAGAAATCTGACGTCACGTAAAAATGCGCAACTTTAAATAAATATAGACAACACGTTCTACTTAATTAAATTAACTTTGTAATACATGTTTGCTCCTACAACATCAGAGTGCAGCGGCACATTAAATACGCACTACAATGACAATAGTTTAAAGCGATTTGAAGCATGTTTTATTTTTTTGGGGGGGGGGGGGTAGGAGGAAGAGCTTGGTGACGTCATATTTGAGGGGGGTCTGACTTTTTGTGACGCCGTGTAACGATGGGGGGGGGGGGGGTCAAAAATCGTCCAAAATCGCGTGACGTCATTTATGGACGGCCCCTAAGGGTTGTGCGGATGGTGGTGTTGGCGCAGGCGGGAGGACATGTGGGTACCTCTGGCAGCCATCTCAGTCAACCCATCGCACCTTCGACACTTCACCTGGCCTCAAAGTGCACCTAGACTGGCACGTGCGCTGTGGTGACGTCACCGCCACTTAGTAGCGAACGGCAGCTGTTGGTGGTGTTGGTGGCGTAGCGGTTAGTGCATTGCTCTACAAATCCAGTGACCCAAGTCCGATTCCCACTCACGGTCAGCACCAGTGACGATTATCTGAACCGGTCCTGGGCCTCCCCTAGGTCAACTCAGCCTCAAATGAGTACCTGGCACGGTGCGCCAACATCGCCACAAGGGATACAAAAGCCGTAGTGCTTATCACCCATCCACTCGTGTGCCGTACCAGCATTCATAGGCATAGGTGCTACTCGCTAACGGCACTTTCCCCAGCAGTCTGTTAAGGCTGTGACTATTACTCGCCAATTACACACTCAGACGCTGTCTCCCCGACAGACCTGGTCTTCACCTGAGGACGGCTGCTTGCGTTGTGGCCGAAACGTCGTGAGAATTATTTTATTATGTTTTATTTTTATTATTTATTACTTACTTCTACGTGACTTTACCGAAAGAACCAAGAAGATGAATTATACATTGGTCAACACACTTTTTCTGGCATAAGGTATTCCAACGGTTTTAAGGTAATCACATCATGTTTTTGAGATATCAAATATTGCATTTTCAATAAAAACTGCAGAAGAAAAATATTAAATAAATGTGGATATCTACATAGAATTATATTATAAACACACTATCCTAAAAATACAGCACCATATTTTAACACTAAAGCAGTCACTGACTCGCAACAACTTGCAATCATAAGTGACAGAGTTAATTTGGGGTAAAATAAATGAAAATGGGGTATGCCGATAGCATAAAAATTATGTGATAGAGCAAATCTGAGATCAGATTTGGAATCAGCACCCTGAAATTAGTCTAAAACAGCTGCAAAAGTCCAGGCCAGAAATTTTTTTGTTTGTTGACCAGTGAATTATCGAGCCACATAGCAACATTTCCCTCTCCCGCCTCCACCCCTACTGCGAAACTACAGCAGACTATTATCGTCCGCGAAACACAGCGTCTTCCGTTATACGGTAGATCGTCTTGTGCTCTAAGAAACGGTGCTAAAATAAAATTCACGAATTCTTTTATTCGGTGGTGGTGGTGGTGGCGGCGGCGGGGGCAGCTGCTGCGAGCGGTGCCCGTGGGTGTGGGCCAGGTGTACGCGTGCGACGACCCGTGGGCTGGCGGCGTCATCGCCGTCGCCCTCTTCATCTCATCGCCCATCAACTGCTTGCACGCCACCACGGGCTCCGTGGCGGGCATCCTGGCAGGTGAGAAGCGCTTCCACGCACGCGCTCGCTCGCTCGCCCGCCCACCTACCCACCCACTCAGCCACCCAGTCACATTCTCAGCTGCCCAATCACCTGCCGGCACAGTCATCCGCCTAGCTACTCATCTGCCTACAGGCATCCGCCCACTCAGCCACCCAGTCACAGCTGCCCAATCACCTGCCGGCTCAGTCGTCCGCCTAGCTACTCACCTGCCTACAGGCGTTCACCCACTCAGCCACCCAGTCACATTCTCAGCTGCCCAATCACCTTGCTGCCATTACCCAACGTATTCATTAACCTATCTATGCATTCATTGATTCCATCAATCACTCAGTCACACACTCACTGAACCAGTCAATCATCCAGGCATCTAAACAGTCGTCCACTTTCTAACTTGCATGGTCACGTATTCAAATGCACACGTACGTACTCACCAACCTTACCCATTCGTTGTCACAATTCATCGGATGTCAAGTTCCGTAGAGTACCCGACTATGAAGCAGTAGGGGGCGCTACACACTCACACTTTGCCATTCTCTGCCTTTAAACAGTCCTCCTACCTACGAACGCCCGACTTACGTGCACACATACTTACGAACCAGCTTTCACGAAGTATGAAACAATTACATTGGCTAAAAAACACGAATTCGCAATTGCAAACTGAACCGCGGAGTGAGTCAGACTCGCGCTGGGAGTGAGTGGTTGCGTGCGTGTGTGCAAGTGAGTGAGTGTGTGCAAGTGAGTGCGTGTGTGCAAGTGAGTGCGTGTGTGCAAGTGAGTGTGTGGGGAGCGGTAGTGTAGGGGTTAGCGCGCTACGCTACGAACGCTGTGTTCGATTCCCGCTCACGGCCAACACCAGTGACGATTACCTGAACCGGTCCTGGGCCTCCATAGGTCGACTCAGCCTCAAATGAGTACCTGGTACGGTGTGTAAATATCGCCACTTGGGAGACAAAGGCGGCCGGGCGTGGTCCTGACTACCCATCCCCTTGTGTGCTGTGCCGGCCTTCATAGGTGCTCGCTAACAGCACTTGCTCCAACAGTCTGTTAAGGCTACACGGGGTATCTTTGTTTTGTGTTTTGTGGGGAGCGGTAGTGTAGTGGTTAGTGCGCTGCGCTATTAAAGCATGCGGTGTGTAAACATCACCACTGGGATACAAAGGTGGCCGGGCGTGGTGTAGACCACCCTCACCCTCTTGTGCCGTACTGGCCTCTATACGGACTACTCGCGAACAGCACTTGCTCCTACAGTCTTTTGAGGCTACACGGGGGGTCGTTGCCGTCGTTGTGTGTGTCTGTGTGTGTGTCTGTACGCCGTGCGTATGTCTGTATGTGTGCAATTGTGGTAGCATCAGGAATCCAGGTAAGTGAAAATAAAAGTGTTTTTTTCTCTGTATGTTACTTTTTTATGTTGTAATTTCTATACAGTATTTTTTTTACAGTGTTAATTGCAAATGTAAAATATTTCTTATTAATTATTAGTTTAGCAATGTGGAATCGTAACACATTTCATAACACTGACCGTACAGGCATTTCAATATAGGGCATTATTGTGTTCCGACTTATGAACCCACCCAAAACGCCGCTGTGCACGCAGCACAGCTACTAAACAAACAGCTGCGGGCCGAAGTGCGCCCCCTGCCGCCACGGGATGCATACTTATCGATCGGTCTCTGCTCGATAAACCAACATTTTGGTCTTTTTGTGAACAAATGGGTCGAAATTCGAATTGATTGGTATAGCGAATTTTCATGGAAAGAACGCTCGTTAGGCGAGACATGCCTGCATTTCGAGAGTTATTTCCCAAATTTGTAGCATGTCGCCGGCACACGATGGCCTTATTCTTCTTCAAAATTACATCAACGGATCTTTAACGTCAAACTGTGAAGCGAACGGCGCTTACGTTTTGGTTAATACATCTGTTGTATTTACCAGGGCGGGCTGCCTGTTTCGAGCCGTGAACCAGATTGACAAAAAAAAACTCTACATATACTGTACATAATGTTTGATGAGATGGCAGTAGGTTGATCGGCAATCGACAGACGTGGGGCGTCACGGCGATGAGATGTTAACAACCTCGCCTGGTATACAGGGGGCGTGGGTTCGATCCCGACCCCGATGTCTGCATATTTGGAGTTTGCGTGTTTTGCTAATGGTCGCGTGGATTTTTCTCTGGGTCCTCAGGTTTTCCTCTCCACATTTAGAATTAACATCACCACGTATTTTGCTGCTGTAAGTTTCCACGTGATGAGCCACTTTGTTGAGTTCTCATTCGTGACAGCCAGGTCGCTTCTGTAAAAGAGCTATACAGCCCAGTGGGCCTTACGTGATGTAAAGCAAAATAAAAATTGCTTAATAGTTTATCATAGTTTAGTTCACGCAGTGACGGAACCCTCTGCTCGCAGGCATCAGCCTGGGCTCGCCGTTCCCGAAGATCTACAATGGCCTGTGGAGCTACAACGTGGTGCTGGGCTGCACCGCCGTGGGGGGGGGATGTTCTTCGCGTTCACGTGGCAGGCACATCTCGTGGCGGTTGCGTGCGGTAAGGAGAAACGTGGCACGGAGCGAGGAGTCGTCGTTGCGCCGGGGCATGAAGTGAACTGAGCAAACGCTGAGAGCCCCCGAACAGCTTCACAGGCCCTGGATTGGCGAGAAAAAAATTTGGAGTGAAACAAATATCAGCTCGAATTCGAGACTATAAACTATACTGAACCACTTTTAATTTACCAGGTAAGATTGACGGAGCTATATAGCTCGTTTTCAGAAGCGACCTGGCTATCATGAATGATACCTCAATGAAGCGGCTAATCATGTGGCAATTTGTAGCAGTCAAGTAATATTAAAGGCGTGTTGATTTTAAATGTGGAGGGAAAAACCGGAGAACCCGAGAAAAATCCACGCGACCACCGGGAGAACATGCAAACTCCAAATCTCGCCATCGCAGAGCCCCAATTCTAATGCTCAACACCATGGAAAACTGAATCAACATAAAATGGTAACTGATCTCTCTCATCCCTATCTTGTCGGGATCTCTCATCTCTCTTCTAGCTCCACGGTGGCGAGATGTTAACTACCTCGCCTGGTATGCAGCTCATGGGTTCGATCCCGACCCTGATGCCTGCTGTATATTTGGAGTTTGCATGGCTCTCTCCCCGTGGTCGCGTGGATTTTTCTCCGGGTCCTCAGGTTTTTTCCCTCCACATTTAGAATTAACATCATCACGCGTTTAGAGTATTTGGCTGCTGTAAATGTCCACGTGATGATAGGCCAATTCGCTGAGCTATCATTTGTGATAGCCAGGTCGCTTGCCTGTCCCCCTCTCTCCCTGTTTGCCCTCACCCACTCTACTCTCTCTCCCTGTTTGCCCTCACCCACTCTACCCTCTCTCCCTGTTTGCCCTCACCCACTCTACTCTCTCTCTCCATGTTTGCCCTCACCCACTCTACTCTCTCTCCCTGTTTGCCCTCACCCACTCTACTCTCTCTCCCTGTTTGCCCTCACCCACTCTACTCTCTCTCCCTGTTTGCCCTCACCCACTCTACTCTCTCTCCCTGTTTGCCCTCACCCACTCTACTCTCTCTCCCTGTTTGCCCTCACCCACTCTACTCTCTCTCCCTGTTTGCCCTCACCCACTCTACTCTCTCTCCCTGTTTGCCCTCACCCACTCTACTCTCTCTCCCTGTTTGCCCTCACCCACTCTACTCTCTCTCCCTGTTTGCCCTCACCCACTCTACTCTCTCTCCCTGTTTGCCCTCACCCACTCTACTCTCTCTCCCTGTTTGCCCTCACCCACTCTACTCTCTCTCCCTGTTTGCCCTCACCCACTCTACTCTCTCTCCCTGTTTGCCCTCACCCACTCTACTCTCTCTCCCTGTTTGCCCTCACCCACTCTACTCTCTCTCCCTGTTTGCCCTCACCCACTCTACCCTCTCTCCCTGTTTGCCCTCACCCACTCTACTCTCTCTCCCTGTTTGCCCTCACCCACTCTACTCTCTCTCCCTGTTTGCCCTCACCCACTCTACTCTCTCTCCCTGTTTGCCCTCACCCACTCTACTCTCTCTCCCTGTTTCCACTCTCCCATTCTCTCCCACTCCGCTCTCTTTCTCTCTCCCTGTCGTTTGGTTGTGTTGGCCATGGGACTGTTTAACAAAAATGTTAAGCTGTGTTGTTGTTGCCCTTTTTTACAGCATTCTTTTGTGCTTATCTTGGAGAGGCCCTCATGAACATGATGTCAGCGGTAAGCAACACATAACAGGAATGGTATTCTTCAATATCTTGTGTGTAAAACCGATCCTATCCCAGACAATGTGTTTAATGCCCTCTTGGGTTTGCTACCTAGCTGCACTTGATTTAAGTCATTATCGGTCGGGACAGTACAACAATTATTTGAGTTAATCATGTTTGCACACGTACGTAAGCAATCTATTAAATAAACATTTGATATCGCTCACGTTAAACGCGTCAAACTGTGAGAGTGGAGAACAGATTACTGATTTGCAGCCGATTATTACGCTCACATGAATCAAAACCTACAAATCTTTACATTTATTCACATCTGCGCACCGCTCGAATTGAGGTCATGAGTCAATTCAACTATCGGTTCTCTACATGTGCCCTGCTGCAGATAAATGTTCGCATGACAGTCAAACTGATATTTTTTTTATTCTCAGTGCTGAAATATCGCCGAATCAAGTGTAAACTCAAATTGAACGTCACAGGTGTCTGTACGTGTGGTGAGAACCCGTGGTGACTCACAGGCGGCTGCCTGGATTTGAACCCAGGGTCAAAGTGATGCCAGCTCAGTGCCCTGACCTCTGAACCGTGCACACCCCTCTCTCATTTCTATTATCAATTAGATCTGCAGCCTCATTGGTATCAACCACAACTTCACACCCTTGTCCTCTACACTCTGGTCATTACACCTTCGCTTCGGCATCACGTTTCATTCCTTCTCCGCAGGTCGGCCTGCCTGCCTTAACTTGGCCCTTCTGCCTGGGCACGCTCGTCTTCCTGCTGATGAGCAGCGGGCTGCACGGCGTCTACAAGCTGCCGCTGTCCGAGGTGACGTACCCCGAGGCCAACCGGCGCTACTACCTTCCAGCAGCAGCAGCAGCGGCAGCAGCGGCAGACGGCCGACAGCACCGGCGGTGCCAGCAAGGAAAACAACGCCGCGATTGTTTGAGCGGAACCAAAAGGGTGCCCAGAGGGCACCGAACACGCCGAACGCTACAACAACAGGAAGACTCCGCTGACCACCGCCGCTACCATGCCTCCTTCTTGGCTCGTGCAGCTGCCGCTCCTCTTAAGGGAAGGGGGGGGGGGGGGCATTCGGCAAGCTCACCAGGTCTGCCGCCAGCGCGACAAGGGAGCACACATTAGGACGTGCATTCAGCAAACCGATGTTCGCGCCCGATGTCTGCCTAGGGGATGAAAAAATGCTCACGTATCATTATTATTTGTTGGTGACCGCACGCGAGATACATTTTATTCTCAACAAGCATAAAAAACGAAATTTGTTCCGGCGTGTTGCGGCATTTCGCTCGGCTCGTCGCGAGCGCGGATTTTTTCAAAGTTGACACCAAAAAATGTGGAGGCCCCTTTTTGCGGTCGGCCGCAAGCGCAGTCAGCGACGGGGCCGGGCCGTGTCGTCGTTTGAAGTCGCGGGATTTGGCGTCCGTGGAGGTTGTCCCGTGAGCTAAATACTGCACGTGCACGAGTCTCTACCTGCTGTCCCAGACGATGAGGCAGGTGGATGCAATGTGGTGTTCCACCGATCTGACATGAATTACATTTTTTTTAATGGTTTGTTGAATTATGGCTTGGCTTTAAAAAATATATTATTATATTTTAATTGTGCCATTTATATTTGATGGAAACGTTTCCATTTGGAACTCTTCAGCCAGAAGTGCATCACTCTGTGTTAGAGAGTGGTTCTAGAAAATGACAGAACGACTTATTTCAACAGGATAAAAATAAACTGAAAACGTATTTAATTAAATAAATCGCCATCCATCTATATTTTCAAATGAAAATGTACGATAGTGTTTTGGCCTCCTGGGTGCACGTTAACCATTTTGCCACAGTGGCGAGATATTAACTACCTCGCCCTCCTATACAGGAGGTCGTGGGTTCGGTCCCGACCGTGACACCTGAATATTTGGAGTTTTTATGTTTTCCGGATCCTCTGGTTTTCTCTCCATATTTAGAATAAACATGCATGTGGAGTATTTGGCTGCTATAAATTCCCACGTGATAAGCCACTTCGTTGAGCTGTCATTTGTTAGGTTGCTTTTGAAAAATAGTTATATAGCTCAGTGGGCCTTACCTAGGAAAATAAAAAATAATCTTTTTTGCAGTATTAAACAAGCAAACTCTGGAACAGTTTGCCCTTTTGGGATTCATCAGCAGAGTTTGATGTATTAAACAAAAATTATGTTTGAAGATGTTATGGACAACCACCTCCTCTACACCATCGGCTGTCAGTGCACATCAGTGTTGTATAATACGTCACCAGGAGCTGTATGGAGAAGAAGTTTTGTCTGCCTATCCATTCCCTCGAGCTGCATTGTACTATTCTGGGTAATAAATTATCTTCTGAAAAAAAATGTGTTTATTTAATATTTTGTTACTTTTATTACCCAGAATGCTCCACTTCAGTGCTGGCGATGATGCATACGAACTTGCGATTACAATCATCTTTGGGCCCCGTTATTTCGCCTCTGGGCCCAATCCTGTGGAATTTTCTCACTCGTCAGAGCATCAAAATCTTTGGAAATTAACTTAAGTCGTAGCTGTTCAGCCTGGCGTTTGCAGATAACGATTAACATAGAGACGCCAAATTCATGGTTTTAGATTAATTATTCCGAATTGCATGGTTTAAAAATGTTAGCGATGAATGAAAAATTATGCAGATGCGTCTTGGTTTCAGAAATGTGGCTTCAAAGAAATCACGTTTAGAATTGATTGGATTATTATTAATATGAATAATGTTTTAGATACAGCGTAATTTCATGCAATTTTGCATCTCAAAACGCTGAACATTGCAAGCCACATTACATTCAACACAAGTACGAGAAACACCACAGCTTCCGACTGCTGTGTGGACTAGAGGTGGTTGGGGTTTTTCACAAACTTGGCTATTCTTTCAGCTGACATGACGGGAGATTGAACCGGTGACCTCTGGTTTCAGCCGCAGTGTTAAAGTGACAACTCTATTCTGTTTAAATCAAGGATGAGCAGCAGCCGTTGCAACATTAGCACCGAACCAAAATGTACAGTATCCCCTCGTTGTCCACGAGGGATGCCTTCTGGAGATACTTGTGAATAGAAATGATATTGGCATTCGAACTACTTTTTCATTAATGACTTTAAATAAACATGTAAATAAGCAATTAAATATATTAAAATTATCATAGCACAACATTTTTAATATGGTTATAATAAACATAAAATGAAAGATAAATAAGAAAGTATTAAATAATAGTTTATAAATGAACTTACCTTAAATTATGACAATAGTACGCATCATCACTTTATCTCATCACTTTCTCTTGATGCAGTCGTGTTGAGTACCAGATGCGATTCGCGGACAGCCAAAATCACGGATAGCAAGTTCGTGAATAACGAGGAAATACGTTGATGCCAAACATGGAAAAAAAAGTTGAAAGTAAAACTCCTCTCCTCGTCTTCACGATGTTTACATTTAGTATTTAATAACAAACATTTGTAAAATGAAATCGGCCAAAAATGCCGAGGCAGGACCCTCCTGAAGAGACTGGACAAATAAAAGGGCAACAGAGTGCCTTCACTAACCCACAGTGACCCGCACGGCATGGACAGACCCCGCACCTCCGATTAGCACGTTGGCTATGGTACGGTGCGAAGGAAGTTCAACGTACATAGATCCAGCCGTGAATTGACAAAGGGCTGTGCGTGCACATTTTAAAAAACAACAGTGAAATTAGTAAAGTACTGAGTAAATATTTTTAAAAAACCGTCTTAAATGTTCAAATGCTTTTTCAGCCAAATGCCTCTGAATATTGTGAAGGAAGGCGCGTTGTTTAAAACGACCCCTTATCTAATTTTTTTTCCCTTCCTTAGGGTACATTCAGCAGCCACTTGCTTTTTTCTGTTTTCATAAAGTTTCTCATAAATACTCGAGTCAGGAATTGGGAAAACATTCCGAGCAGGACCCCGCAGAGGAAGGGTCCTCAGGACTGAATGTGACTTTTGCCGAGAAAAGAAATAGCGATCACAAAAAACGACGAAGCCCATTTTTTTGCCGTTGGATCTTCAAACAAAAGAGGAGAAACCTACACAAAATAAAGCGACATGAAAGTGGCGTCGTGATCAAATAACCACGCGGAGGCACTTCTTCTGCTTACCGCCCTGATCCAGTGATGCGTATTTCACCTTCTTGCGAGAGGGGGCAAGCCATTCCATTTATTTAAAACTAAAAACTTAGTTTTATTTTTACCACGAAAGGCCCACTGAGCTATATTGCACTTTTTTAGAAGCGACCTGGCGATCACAAATTATAGCTCAGCGAAGTGGCTTATCGCGTGGAAATGTATAGCAGAGAAATACTCTTAACGCATGATTCCAAACGTGGAGGGGAAAACTGGACGACTCGGAGAAAAATGTATGCGACCACGGGGAGAGAGACATACAAACTCTAAATATTCAGGTGTCAAGGTCGGGATCGAACTCACGACCTCCTGTATACCAGGCGAGGTAGTTAACATCTCCCAACCATGGCAACAATCCATGTATGTATGTTGAACCTCTTTCGCACCGTACGTAGCCAACCACGCTAATTGGAGGTGCGGGAAATTTATATTATATTTATAGGACAACCACTCTTCTCTCAGTGTGATTCGATACGTGCATGTCTCCATGCTTATTTGCACACTTTTCAGCTTTTCCATTCTTTTTGATGTTTCTGATCCGCTTCACCGCAAGGAATATGCATTGATTGAAAAGTTTCTTCTTCAGGCACAATTATATTTTGCTCTCTGTTATCAAGTTACACCCCCCCCCCCCCCATATTTCTCCAGCCTGCTCTCGCTCGCCTCTCCATTGCATCGTTACGATACTGATCCGTCTTGGAAATAATTGCTCTAGGTGTGTAAAACTGTATTTCCGCAGTTGTGTCCCTCCGGCAAATATTTTCTTTTGTTAACAACAACACAAAAAAATAAGGATTAAAACCCCCCCACACGCCAGACATCGCGTGAGAGTGGATGGTTCAGGAACCTGGCACAAACAGCGGGCAATGATTGTGCTGTACACACGTCTCATTGCACACACACACGTTGCCAGCCCCGGCAAAGACTCAGGCATGCGAGGTGTGTCACTGAAGTCACAAAGGCTGCCTTGGATTCAAAGTCACGCAGACTGATTGAGTCGTCGCATTCCTGAAAGCTGCTGCAGAAACTCGACTTTGCTGCGGAGTTTGCGCGTGCATCACCGCGAGGCGCATCAATGTGTAGCTGTGTATGTGCCTCCGTGTGTTCTTGTGGCCATCAATGTGTGACTTGTCAGTGTGTCTCTCTGTGGTGTACGTGTGACTGTGTGTACGTGTGCACCTCGTGGCGATCGGTAGTGTAGTGGTTAGCGCGCTGCGCTACGAACCTGGCGACCTGAGTTCGATTTTCGCTCATGGTGACGATTACCTGAACCGGTCATGTGCCTCACCTAGGTTGACCCAGCCTCCAATGAGTACCTGGTGTGATGTGTAAACATCACCACTAGGGATACAAAGGCGGGCGGGCGTTGTGTCGGCCACCCACCCCCCTCATGTGCCGTGCCATCCTTCACAGGTGCTCGCTAACAGCACTTGCTCCAACAGTCTATTCAGGCTATACGGAAGATCTTTATCTTTGCATTTTTCCGTGCATCTCTGTGTATTTGCGTGTGTCAATGTGCACATCCATGTGTGTCTGTGTCCCCTCCGTCTGTCTCCCTTTGTGTGTAGTACATGCTTATGTGTGTGTGTGTGCCTGAGTGTGTTGTGACATTGTGTTTGTGTATGCATGTGGGTCTCCGTGTGTGTGAATGAGGCAACAGAGGTCCGCTTACTGGCTTACCCTCACTCCACGTGTCGCCTGGTCGCTAGCATGTGGGAGTACTTTGTTGATTTTTATTGCAAAATAAACCCACGGGGAGTCCACATGTGGCCGCACTCCCCTGCTGGGAAGGACCTCTGTCCCATCCTCCAATGCAGCCTCGCTTTTCTCTCATCTCCCTGCAAGAAGCACAATCCCTTTGGTTCTCAAAGACACAAACCAACACTTGCCTGTTTTATTAACACACCTCGGTTGTGTCCCGCCGTCCCACACCGACGACGAAACTCTGTTAATCATAACCACGATTACAAATAATCTATGCCTCAAGTTTCGTGCTGGCTGCTGGCTTGGCTCCTCCGCGCCCCCCCCCCCCCAACAATAACTTTCGTGTTGTTAATGGCTGTGGGCCAGAAGTAGCTGGGTAACTGGCTACACATGATTCTCTGCGCAGCAAAATAAGCGTTGCATTAAATTGAAAGAAGCAAGATAACATAACAGACAGCGCCACCGAAGAGGTGGAAGTAACGAATGCAGAAGACTGACCACACCTCGTTTAAAATTCTTCAATATTTTCAATGTGTGCTCCTATTAATGTGCTTTTTTGCCAGAATTAAAGCTAGGACGAAAAACACTGTGGGTGGGTGACAGGGCCCTGCAGAACGCACACACGCGCCTGCACGGTGTGGCTCGCCACGGTGGCGAGATGTTCACTACCTCGCCTGGGATGCATGAGGTCGTGGGTTCAATCTCGACCCTGACGCCTGCTGTATATTTGGAGTTTGCATGTCTTTCTCCAGGTGGTCGCATGGATTTTCTCCGGACACTCCCGTTTTCCCTCCACATTGAGAATCAATACGCGTATTTGGCTGCTGCTATGAATTGACAAGTGATAAGCCACTTCGTTGAGCCATTATTTGTGATGGCCAGTTCGTTTCTGAAAAATTGTTGTATAGCTCAGTGGGCCTTTGCTTGATAAAATAAAATAAATAGTTTTATAGTTTTTTTGTGTGAATGATGGGCAGGGGGTGGTGGCAATGGCCACGTCGGAAGAAACCGCAACGTTGTTGCTGTATTCTGCCCGGGCTGCCCTAATGCGTTCCCAGCGCCTCCGTCGTTGAAAGAGCGTCGCGGATAAACATCCACTCCGTGCCTGCGATACATGCAGCTTCCTCTCGTCCCCCCTTGAAACACAACAAACGATTCAACCAAATATTCAACAGCAGCCCTCGGCGGCTTTTCCTGAGACGACCTGTGCAGAGTCTTTCTTACAAACAACAATATCGCAACCCCACCACTCCACACGCGTGTGCTCAATGGCACAGGGCTGTGAGATATGTGCGGAGGTGAGAACCTCCGATTAGCACGGTTGGCGACAGCAGCAATTCACGGATCCAGGTCGAGTCGTTGCCCATGGTACAGCGAATCGGGACGAGTACCCAGGGCTTTCGGGGGGGTCTCACGCAGTGG